TTAAGCCCTTCCAAAAACTCCAACCATTATTCCAAAATTTAATTATACCCTCTTAAACATCTATATAGTAACACTCCCAAGGATTTCTGTATAAAGGAAATACATAGAACATCAACTGCATAATTAATAGTTCATCAGCTTTTTTTTTTTTTTTTAAAGACAATGTCTCACTCTGTTGCCTCAGGACATAGTACCAGTTTCATAGCTCACACAACCTCAAACTCTTACACTCAAGCAACCCTCTTGCCTCAGCCTCCTGGGACTATAGACATACGCCACCATGCCCAATTAATTTTTTTACTACTTTTTGTAGAAACAGGGTCACACTCTTGCTCAGGCTGGTCTCCAAACTCCTGAGCTCATGCAACCCATCCACCCCAGCCTTCCAAATTGCTAGCACTACAGGTGTGAGCCAACCCATTGGCTCTCATTCATTTTTAAATACAAGCTATTAAGGTTTGGGAAGATCTAGTCTAGAGACAACCCAGAACTCTTAAGTCTTGGTCCTGTACTTTCTCCCCTCATCCCACTGAGTCCCTCAGATGCAAAAACAATTATCTTTGCAATTGTTTTGACATTCTAATGAGTGTTTAGAGCTTATGCCAGTGTTCGAAGTGCAAGGTTTAAAGCATTTAGTTGCCTGAACATTGTAACTTGGCTTAGTTCTCCAAGAGTGTTTTCCTTTGCCAATATTTAAACAGTCGCTGGCCTCAGGTATGTTCAGAATTACATAATTAAAATACTGCAGTTGATACTCATAAAATCAGACTCAATAATGCCAAGATCTCAGTTTGTTGTTACTATTTAGACTTGGCAACTTTGAAGAGATTATATAACTCTTTGCTAGTGGTTAGCAAATTGGAGACATTTTCAGGATGAAATGAACAAACTAAATATAGACCAATATAGAAGAGGCAAACATTCACTGGGCAGGTTATAACAATCGCTTCCCTTATACTGGAATTTGTAAATAGTAGTGATAAACTCAGGTGCCACCAGAGGAGTGGTCTCTAAACTTTCTGGAACCAGGGACCGGTTTCATAGAAGACTATTTCTCCAAAGACTAGGGGCGGGGAGGTAGAGAAAAGGAAGGTTTGGGGATGATTCAGGCACATGATATTTATTGTGTACTTTATTTCTATTAGGATTACATTGTAATATATAATGAAATAATTAAAATACTCACCACAGTGCAGTATCAGAGGGAGCCCTGGCCTTGTTTTCCTTGCAATTAGATGATCCCATCTGGGGGTAATGGGAGACAGGGACAACTAAAGCGTGTTGCTTATGTCCACAGCTCTACCTCTTATCATCAGGCATTAGATTGTCATAAGGAGCACACAACCTAGATCCCTTGTATCCACAGTGGACAATGTGGAAACAGAGCCAGTAAGGTTCCCTATCCTCCAAGAACCTAATGTTGCAGTGATATGACAGGAGGCTGAGCTCAGACAGTGATGTGATCAATGAGGAACTGCTGTAAACACAGATGAAGCTTCCCTCTCTCACCTGCTGCTCACCTCCTGTTCTGTGGCCCAGTACCTAAAAGGCCACTGACAAGTATCCATCAGGACCACAGGATGGGGACTGGAGCCCACAGACCTAGACACCTAGAAAAGTGTCCATCTGCCTCCTCAGGATATATTGGCTATGGCTCTGTTTCCACCTTGCAAAGATCTTGGGGAAAATGGTTTGGGGTTATTAGATCAAAGCAATAACTAGATAGAGAAGGAGATAAGGGAAGAAAAAGAGAGAAGGACTCATTTCTGTTCAGAAGCAAGAAGACAGTGAAAGAGGAAGAATAGAAGATGGGGTGGGGGTGAGGGTTGGAAGATGGCTAAACAAAAAGCACAGTCCTCCCTAACCAGTGTGTTGAAGAACATTAGTTTGCCAAGATTGGCTTCCAGGACAGCCAACAAAACCCCTCAACCCGGGGAAGGGGGTGAACAAGGGCCGAAGCAACCAAAACCCCCGGCCAACCAACCCCGAAAACCAACAAGCCAAAAAAAAGCCCCCCTTTCCCAAAAGGGGTAAGAAAGAAAAAAAAATAAAGTTGGCAATAATTGTCTTTAAAAGTTCAAGGAATATCTACAGGCAGAAGTTGACCCAGAACCTATTTATAGGTCTGCGGGGAAGCATAGGAACTGTGGTCCCAATTAAGGCAATATGAGATAGAGAACTAGTGTTTTTAACTGCTGTGCAGACTTGAGAGTTGAGGACGTCACTGATCCTTGTGTAGTAGTTATTTGTTTCATCGCACAGAGATGTTTTTGCTTTATTAGAAAAGGATCCCTTTAAGGAACATTCGATGGCTTGCTCTATATGTTTATTGTAATATTTTCATTGTATCCTCTCTGGGTTCTTTAACTTTATTATTCTTAGTTATATAGCCCCTTGCACCATGCACTAAGCTAAATCAATATTTTCTCTTGGTAATGTTTGCACAGTTAGAGATATTTGCAGATCTTTAGACCTTGCTGTAAGCTAAGTTACATGTATTTTGTTCCTTTAATCTTCCTTTACAAATTACCTCTTCCTAGCCCTTAAACACTCATGCTACTAAAATATGCCATCTTTTCTTGATATGACAACATTGCTTATAGGCATTGATACTACATTATTGATGGCACCTTTCTGTTCCTTCTAATCTACTACTTAAGTAACAACTGAATTCAAAAGGCAAAATTCAAAGGGCATATTCCTGAAGAGATAGAAAATGCAGACAGAAGGCAGAGGTGCAAAGAAAGAAGTAGAAGCTAAAGCAAGATATAGATACTAATCACACCAGGAGACAAGGTCCTGGGGTTCAGTCACTAGTCACGTGCCTCAAAAGAGATTCTACAGCCACTGTGCTTCTTCACCAAGGTGAGATGATGAGATATCAAATGCCACATACTAGTGTATATGCTTCCTCTGCTGTGGTAGCCTGAAGTTCAAGACTTAACCGTCAAGTAGAGAAAAAGGAAGAAATAAAGGAGGGTGAAAATGATTGGACAATAAACAAAGCAAATGTACAGCAACCCGGTAGAAATATTGGTTGAGGAATACATGGTTAACAGGATGACATGCTCCAAAGACACTGAGTCTGATGAGGACAAGGAAGTTACCATTGGATTTCCCAACATGGTGGGCACTGGAAACTTGAACAACAGATGAAGCAGACAGAGGACAGAATAAAATGGATTACAACTCAGCAGTGTGAGCATATAGCTGTGGGAAGATCCTGACAGGCAGGATTTCCCCAGTTACTGGAGGATCAAGTATATTTTCTCTGTCTTATGTTCATGCCTACCAATAGCTTACTCTCAGATCTTTTAACTATACTCTTACAACCATCATGACAACAACATCCTTTGGAAAACTGGGATTAAGGGGAATAAGTGTGTACATAATCCTCCCCATGTTATGTGCAAAAGGTGAATAGAGGTGTGGAAATAGAGTAAGTGTGAAAAATTCTTTCAAGGAGTTCTGCTATGAAAGGCAGTTGAGAAATAGGGAAGTAGCTAAGATGTAAGTGGAGGTTGAGCAGTTTCATTGCTTTAAGACAAGAGAAAGTAGGGCGCTGTCCCCATATACTGAGGGTGGTGGGTTCAAACCTGGCCCCGGCCAAACTGCAACAAAAAAATAGCCGGGCATTATGGTGGGTGCCTATAGTCCCAGATACTTGGGAGGCTGAGGCAAGAGAATCGCCTAAGCCCAAGAGCTGGAGGTTGCTATAAGCTGTGATGCCACAGCACTCTACTGAGGGTGACAAAGTGAGACTCTGTCTCTTAAAAAAAAAAAAAAGACAAGAGAAAGTAGAACATGTTTGAATGCCATGGGGAATGTCCCAGTACAAAGACAGAATGGTGGGGATGGGACCTAGAGCACAGATGGCTGGGCTGGCCTTTTTTAGGGGTTAACTCTTCATCCATAGGATCAGGTGGGAAAGCAAAGCATGGACATGGATTCAGGGATAAATATTATTTATTTATTCATTTGTTTGAGACAGAGTCTCAAGCTGTTGCCCTGGGTAGAATCCCGTAGCATCACAGCTCACAGCAACCACCAACTCTTGGGCTTAAGCGATTCTCTTGCCTCATCCTCTCAAGTAGCTGGGACTATAGGCGCCCACCACAATGCCCAGCTATTTTTTGGTTGCAGTTGTCATTGTTTGGCAGGCCCAGGCTGGATTTGAACCCACCAGGTCTGGTGTATATGGCTGGTGCCTTAGCCACTTGAGCTATAGGTGCCGAGAGGATAAATATTATTTAGAGAGCTGTTGCAAAGATTTCAGTGAGATAATAATTCAAAGCTTCTAGCCTATGGACTATCACGTGGAAGATGCTTAATGAGTGTTGCTTCCCTGGTATGCGGCTCAAACTGCCCTCTCTCACTCTTGTATCCAGTCCACACTACCCAGTCTGGCATTTCTGGCCCCCAGTAACTACCCAACATTTCTTCTCTCTTTTCTCTACCAAGAATCTTTCACTGTGTTGAGGCCCCCTTTCCTCCTGTCAGCCTACATGTTGCTAGGTTCTCTCAGACAAATCACTATTACCCTACTCCTCAATTTCCCTGTGGGCCTTGATCAGGTAACATCACCCTCTTCCCTGTCATTTCTCCTTTCTCTTCCATTCCAGTGATCTCTTTTGACAACTGGGTAATGAGCATTCTTCCACGAAATTCCCTCAGCCCTCACAGGTTGCACTCTACTGATACATTTCCTATTCCTCTTGCTACTTTTCTCTACTCCTTTTGTTTTCTAGGAGATTTTCAAACAAAATATGTCAGCAAAGTTGTACATACTAATATCCACAGAATTATGAGTCTATCTTCTAGATTTCTGTTGCGCAAAAGCATATGCAAAGTTACTTGTGAGCTAAGATAGAGTTTCTCCATTATCTCTGACAGGTCTCTATGGTGAAGATAAAATGTAGTAATTCTGAATAAAAGATATTATCATATAAACATCCAGGAAGTTTGCTTTTTATTCTGTTGTATTGTGTATCGTTACCATGCTCAGCTATAATAACTCCAGAAACACTGTTATGGCCAATTTTTGAGAATAAGTGTTGAGCGTTTAAATGAATGCAACAAATATATTATAGTTTGTCGTATGGATGAAATTTTTAGAATTCTTCAACATGCAAATATTTGACACTCAGTGAGTGTTTCTTTCTTTCTTTCTTT